GTAGTAAAGAAAAATGCTGTAATTAAAGCAATTACACTTTTACAATATTAGTAAAGGTACATACTATCCGGTACAACCAAAGTAATAAAAGTTATTCATGTTATTTTCTGGCGAAGAGACAAAATTCACGCGCGTTTTCCCATAGGAATGCACAGGAGCACCGCAAAAGTAGGCTGGTTGCTGTCTGCTTCAATTTGCCTCCCGGAAGTCGCATAGACACTAGCGCCAGTTGAACCTCTAGCGTGCATTATAATAACTCTATGATCTTATCTAAAGTGAGTCACTATCTCGAAGATTCGGCGAAGGTTCGAGCGTAGCGCGCTCGGGGCGAGAATGAACACGCACCTTCTAGAACAACAAAAGCAGGGATAAACGATAGAAGTTCTGTCCAGAGCAAGAATAAATGAGAAAGTTCTAGAAGCCCGTGACCCTGCGCGCGGCAATATCACACCGGACTCCGATTTTTGGTATTTCAAAAAGAAGAGCCGTTGTGCGTTCGCAATTGCGTTAAAAAACATGTTTTACGATTGCCATTATTAAATGTTATAGAAATGTCGCCTACAAAGCTTCTAATTCTTTTTTTTTTTTTTTCGAAGTCACGTATTGATTTTCCAATTCACGAAGTCAGTAAGGGGTGTCGGCAGATTGTCTTTGCAAAAGGTTGTAGTTGATGTAACAACCGTTTTCAAGCGCTGCTCTACAGGCCTAAAGTTCACTTACGAACTGCAAGACGGTCAGTACTTGCAGTTTTTGGATTTACGGCTGCAATTCACTGGGCGATATGTGTGTTGGCGCTACAACCCGCGAACCAAGAAGGAAATCCTGCCATACGATTCCGCCCACTCTAAACTTGTGAAACGAAACATTGCCACGTCATGCCTCCAAGCTTCACTGTACAGGTCCTGTCACCATGTAATGCTTGACAGCTATGAAGCTCAGGTAAAGCGACTTTTAGGAGCAGGATTTCCTCTGTCCGTTTTGCTTGGTGTCTCCGACACTCTTGAAAAAAGTCAAGAGCGGTTCTCAGGAACCAAAAGTAAAGCCTAAACAAAGGCCTCAGGTTGTCCCATATAGACATAAGGTATCACATAATTTAAAAAAAAGTGGCTATCCGGTTCAATGTGCCAATGGTTTTTTCGGTGCCTCAAAAATTAGCACAACTTTGCCCGCGCGTAAACCAGGCAAGCAGTAACAAGATGTCATGTACGGTTAAGCATGTCAACAAGTTTGTGGATTGCGTTGTGGGTGTCATCTACAAAATTCCATTGTCATGCGGACGGGTTTATATAGGACAATCGGGACGCTGCGTCAACGAGAGAATGCGTGAGCATGTAAATTCCCTGCGGTCAATGACAGGAGGTCACTTATACGTACATTGCAGAGACTGCCAGTGTCACCCCGTCTTCCAAGATACATTAATCATTGGCAGGGGGCGCACAAAAGTGCAAAGAGAGGTGCTGGAGGCGCATGGCTATCGAAAATGCTGGTGCGGGGTACTGCGTCAGCCAGGCTTTGGTTTATCTGCACAAAAAAGAGATTGAATTTATAGATGCATGGTAAGCGACACGCCATTGGTTGTTTCAACGTTGGTTTGCTGTGTGGTGTTTTCTTGTTTGAGCCGTTTTTAATAAAACTTCAGTTGATAGTCAGCGCTTGTCCTGTGCTCTTCTCTCGTTGTATTCGTCTTTTTGCGCGCTGTTTCCAATTTCCTAAGTCACGTATCAAAAGAAGCGAGGAGGCAAGCAGCAGGAGAGGAGCAGGAGAGGAGCGGACGAGGGAACACGCTGCGTCAGTGAAAACCCTGTCAGCAGGAGGACACTTGCCAATTCATTGTCGTGCGTGTCAATGTTTGGCACTGTTCTACGACGTAAACATCGTGGCAAGGAACAAGATAAAACTGGGACGTGAAATCCTAGGGGCACTTGCCATTGAGGAAAAAGGCGATGACTGCATTAGTACACCTTCTTTCGTGCTGCACGAGAACGAAAAAGATTTCTTCAGGGGTAAAAATTTTAAGGGGAATTAGAAAGAAAAAAAAATTTAAGGTATATTTAGAAAGTAAAAAAGAGGAAAAGAGCATTGTTCCCTCAAGTGTGGTTCGTAGTCGAAGAGGTGGAAAAAGAGAATCAGTTGTTAGTCCAGCGGTGTGAATGGTCTTTCCTTTATGTGTGTGTGTGAGTTTTTTTTTTTTTCCAGTTCAGCTTGGGAATTCAGTATTTGTGAAGTAAAAAAAAACTCTAAATGACGAATTCGAATTTCCCGCGCGATCCGCGCCTGTGCGTTGACGTAAAATATTGCGGAGTCCTGAGAGTGACTTTCTTTCACGACTCCGTGCTGTTGCCACCGCGACCCGATGCCAGAAGGAAAAGAACGGGAGATAAGGGCGCCGGCGGACCGAAAAAAAAAAAAACGGTTTTATTTCGTGCGAGCGGTGCCGCCTGTTTAGGCGGAATGTTTTCCGAGGCAGGATACAATTCCAGAAGGCGACATCACACCGGACTTCCATTTTTGGTATTTCAAAAAGAACGGCCGTAGTGCGTTCGCAATTGCCTTTAAAAAAAATATGTTTTACGATTGCCGTTATTAAATGTTATAGAAATGTTGCCTACAAACCTTCTAAATTTCATGATTTTCAACGTCACGAATCAAAAGAAGTGAGGAGGCGAACAGCGGGAAAGGAGGACGCCATAATAAAAAAAAAAACGCGCGCGCGCGTAAAATTTTTTTTTTTTTTTTAGATGCTTTTTTTTTTTTTTGTTTCTATGACTACAATTTGCATCGTTTAGACAAGTAAAAAAATACGTCCCTTGGGGCGTCAGTGCCCCTTTAAGGAGAAATACCCTTTATACGTATACCATATCTTACACCGCAACCCTATTTACCCTATGACCAAATCACTCATAAAGTTCGCAAGAGTCGAACCTTATTCGACAGGTCAGCAACATCGCCAGCAAGAATGTATTATTTCCACGTCTTCTAGATCAAAACGTATCATGGGGATTACACAATTGAAGTCCCCAGTACACTGGCGGACCGCCGGGGAAGGGGGAGTTTAAACTCGTCCGCAAAGGCTCTTCTTTTTTTATATTTTACGCCGAAGGTTCGTGGGGTGAGACAGACAAATACATTTCTGCCTGGCAAGTTGAACCATTTCCGAAATTCCATCTTCTCACTTCCCTCGCTATCATCATCGGAGTGTTGGACATTTGTGAGAGCATGCTATACACCCACCAACGTTACTAGATTACCTCAGTTGTGGAACTGCTGCTTGAGGCCCCTATGGCAGGGGTCTCACACATGTTGAGATTGGTTACTTCCTGAGTTGATTGGGCAACGGGAACGACAGTGTACTTTGTGGGATTTTGGCTACCAACACAGGTACCGATAGAGTAACCAAAGGATTATCTTAACAGCGGCGGCGATCTCAAACCAGCCATCAAACCTATTAGCGCGGTCCCCACATCTCCGCGGCAATATAGACGACGTTTAGGGCTACATTACCGCGGGTCGGTTCGATAAGTTACCTCCGTCGGTGCGAGTGATTGACTACCTTGTCTCACTCTCTCGAATATAGCGGGAGGGAAGACACGCGTACCAGAGTAAGGACAGAGTCCAAGAGCATTTATTATAACACTCTTCTAAAAGAACTACAATGTCCCCATCCAAAATGACCCCCGCACCGGCAAGGTAAGGAACGGTCCTTACCTACCTGACGCGGGGTTCCGGAGATCCAAGATCGGGGAGGCGTCGGAAAAGTCGTCGACACACTTCCTATCTCTTTCGCGGTCACCCGACGAGTCCCTTTCCCGAAAGCGGGAAAACAAGAGGCGAAACCTCCTCGCATGTCAGCAGTGATTCGCATCTGAGCGGGGGGACGGAAAGAGGTCCCCCGGGAGAGTGAGAGGAGGGCACCTCAAGACAGGGAGCCCTCTGCTTCACGAACAGGTCGGAGGTCACGGCAAAGGCGGCCTAACGTTCCGACCCGCGGCCGTTATCACAGCCATCGGGGAAGGAAGACCACAGGAATCCCCACATAAAAAATAAAGGAGGCCCACCTGCTTTTATGAAATAATATATCTCTCTGCGCACCCCCAACAAATACACGGGACACCCAGCGCTTGTCTTCACAGTGTCCGCCGTCGACAGCTCACGCACCAGGCCGGAGAAAAAGAAAAATTTCCAGCCCCAAGCACTTGACAGTCGTCCACAGCACCGCAGAGCATCACAGGCACCGTGCTGACGCCGCTGGACCCAGGTGTCGCGGTACGAGCTGGCTGGCAGCGGAGGCCAGCTGGGGAAGTCCCGGACATGCCGTCCAGGGGATTCGGCGCCATCTCGGCCGCAGTGGGTTGGTGAAGGGGGATGGACGACCTAGGCTCGGAGCAGACCTGCAAAGTCGTAATGCCAGCAGCCAACACGCCCAAAACCGACCGCAGCCCTCCCGAAAGGGAAGAAAGGGCGCCGCAGCCTCCAAACGAGGGTGTCGCGCGCTACCGACGCTCGCCTGCCCCGGGCCGCAAAGACGGCACAACGGGCAGGAGCATACGAGAAACAAAAACCACAAAAAAGGTGGCCAGTTTGTCAACGGTGACCGGAAGGCGCTCAGTTGGGAAACTGACCCGACGAGCAATACTTGTTTATGAAATCCATCCAGCGCTTGAACCATTTTCACACAAAGATGACACTAGGTGGTGAACGCTCGAAGTCCGATTGGCGCCAGGAAAGGAAATTGGCTTGCCCCTTTCCCTTCACCCCAAAATAAACAAACAAACATTACCTCTCCTTTCTAAAGCAAGTAGCGTCAAATATGGCTCAAAGAACTGAAATGAGCGACCCTCGAGTGACGGTGCAGCACTCGATCGTTGCGGCAGTGTCTTGCGCGTTCAGACGACCACCGTATGTTTTCGACAAAAGCCAGTTAATCCCTTATCGTGCACCTTCTTTCTTCCAGCGAACACGATAACCGAAAGCGCGCGGCACTCTCAAATCGCTCCTTCGTGATGCTGCAGTATTTTTTTACGCTGTCACATATGCCGGCATAAAAACAAACAACGCCTCATCCTCATCGACAAACGGAAGCCGTAGGTGATGTCAGTTCCTTTCAAGATAAAATCTATATAAGGAGCGGCGATTCGTCGTAGTCTAAGTCAGTCGGTTTTCCGTTCTCAAGATACGCATCAGAATTTCGGTAAGTTCGAACTCGAATGTCGGGAGCGCAACAGCTTCTGATAAACCCCTGAGGTGTAACCTCGATAATTAGCGGGTCGTGCAAGCTTTTCTTTTATTCTCTCGGCTCAGATTTTTGTAGCTTTACCGCCTATTGCTTGTTTGTTTTTCAGAAGATGAGTGCTGAAGTTCAAGCATCCTCCTCCAAGCAAGAGGCCTCGGCCGAAGTCCTACAGGCGAGTCGCGCCAACTTCGTGACGCGCCTGAACGCTCTGCCGGCTGTGACTACCCTCTGCGGCGTGGTGGCTCAGTCTTATGGTCGCGCAAAGCAGAGCTACGCCTTCGTCGCCGTCCCCTTGCAACTGGCCGAGATCGGAGTCCAGTACGCGGTGGAAAAAAGTCTGCCTGTTCTGGACAAGTTCAGTCCCCAGCTGAACTACGTCAACGGTCTTGCCTGCCGAGGACTGGACAAGCTCGAAGCCGCCTACCCAGACGTGACCCAGAAGCAGCCACGGGAGATCTTAACCGACACAGTGGCCTTCGGCCGTTCCAAGCTCGCCAGTGTCAAGGACTACGGAGTCTCCAAGGTGTGTACGGTGGGACTAGGTAGGCTCCCTTAGACGCTCCGCCTCCGGCCCACGTTCGTTTGGCGGCCTGTGACTGCGCGTGCATCGGGTTTAAGTAAAGGCAACAAAGGTGGCCTTGTAGCCGGGCATCTAATGAATGTTTACCCTGTCACTGAAGTAACGGGAAATAGTCTACGTCCGACGGGCTTCTAGAACATATGCCCGCAGGGCTTAAAGTCTAGCAGGTCTCGGGGGGGGGGGGGGGGGGGGGGTCTCGGACCCCCGCTGATTCATGGTCTGAGACCCTCCTGCACAACCCCAGCATTAATGGAATCAAAGTTATCTTGCAATAAAATAGCTTGTTTTCAGGGATGCAACATTTAGGGATTAGCAGTTGGAGGGTTGCAGGTACAGCGTGGGTAGGGTCAGGAGGGGTGTTTATTTTATGTGCATCTAGTACATCAGGTAAGAACCCCCTCCCCTTCTAGGAGCGCCCCTCAACTTGCGGGAGACTTTAAGCACTGTACGCCCGTACCACCCGTCTTACTTTCTCTACATAGGCACAAGGCGTCAAGACCGCTGCCGTGGGTGCCCTTCACCTAGCCACCCATCCCGTACAGACTCTTTCCTCGTGCACTCATCGGACCTTCAGCTACACCCTGAAGGCGCTTGATGCCTTGGATGCTGCCCTGGACAAGGTATAGTTCCGCGCGTGTTCGTCGCACGCTCCCTTCCTTTCTACCTTTCCGCCCATGCTGATTTACCAGTCCTTTTTCAGCACATCGCTGCTTGCGCCATCGACATGCCCGAACGCGCCCCTTCCGACGCGCCAGGCTTTACCACCCTCCTCACTCTCCTGGACACTGTTGTCTTCAAGGCAACTGCTTGCGCCAAGGTCGCAGTTCGTCAGCGGAACGACCAAATCCGGTACTTCCTCAGAGTTCGACACTTCATCACTGACCCTGCGCCGAATTCTTCGGCAGAAAATATGGTACGTACGCTAGTGTCCCGATTCTCGTGCTTTGGCGCTCTGTGGAAGAGTTTGTTGCTTTCTTGTCGCACTTTTTTCTTCTCTGACACTTTGAGAAGCTTTGGGATTGCCATCCGTTCTGCCCTCCCTATCCTCGCCTCTCAAAAGGCCGCAAGGCTGCTACCTTTTAGGTAGACGGTGCCGTAGACGCTCCTGCTAAGAACGTTCTCGGCGCGAATGCTGACGCGGCTCTCGTGTTCAGCCACTGCCCCGAGTTTACTTCAGATGACGACGATGATGAAATATAGCCCTGCAACGTTGTCATCTAAGTTGGTTCGGCTAGTCCGTCCGTCAGTAATGAACTCTGGTCTTTTCTTTCGCTCCTTGGCTTACCTCCCTCTGTCCGCGGTTCGTTCCCCGGCAGGAAACCGTGCCACGCAGCGAGACTCCAACCACGGAACCCAAAGTACCGTTTGAAGAATCTTCCACTGACTCAACCACCAGAGGAGAATCCCCCACTTTTTAACCGCCTTGTGTCATTATCGCGGTTCCAGACTTGGGCGACCATTTTGGCGGCCCTGCGAGGAATCTGCTTGTGTTCCATTCCTAGGCATAGTACTGAATAAACTTGTGACCTTTTAGTTTGTTTCTCGTGGTGTCCAACATCGTCCTTCGCGTATTGGTTTCCCCTTTGTAGCACCTATGATGTTACCGTTGCTCTTTATGAGGTGCCAAACTATTGCGGGTTCAGGAAGCGGGACATTCGCTGCCCAGCGTCTACTCCTTTCTCTGGAGATAAAGCGAGCTCCTCCTCGCCTCATCTCCAGCACGCAGTCAAAATGCCTGTGCACACGTCTGCCGCAACGCCGCTTCGGCATTGGACACGACTCCGATGCGGCGCTAACACTGTGCCGAGTTGTCTTGTGCATTGGTGTTGTACCGCCGCTCACCACTGTGAAACATCACGTGGAAAATAATGGGAATTCCAGAGCTCAAGGCGGCAACCAGACAGCTGACTTGCCGGTTGTCTGGTGGCCGTCGTCGCTCAGAGATGGCGGCACATAGTGCAGCTCCGCTGCTCTTCACCACAGTGGAAAGTCTGAAAGTTTTTTGTTTTTTTTTCGCAACTTACAAAAATGTGTTGGTCGTATGTGGCTGAATGCTGGCGCTAGCCGAGTGATCTGCATTTCAGCTATTCTTCGAAACCTGACACATGCTGAGCGTCGTCTTCTAGTGCTCGCCAATCAAGGATTTGAAAACCGCTTCCGTATTTTTCTTCGCTACCTCGGGTCGAGAGTATGTCCAGAGCTTTTGGCATTGTTGCGTGTCCGTAACGGTCGTGCAACAGCAAACTCCGAAAAAACCAATGTCGATGTCCGAGGGAAGCACGAGCCGCAATCTAACCCGCAAAGAGCCGCATGCAGTTTGGCTACCCCTGGTGTAGATCGATTCACTGACGGCCATGCCTCCGCATGATCTGAGCATGCGCTCTAAACAGTGCCTTCAAATATGCCGTCCAGTGAATTCGCGAAGAGAAGTTTGGGTATCGTCCCCCCCCCCCCCCCCTTTTTTTTTTTTTTTTTTTTTTGGGTGGGATTTTTTTACAATTCAGTGTGCGGATACTTCAACTTTCTCTGCTGGTGCAAGCACGTGCAACGCCAAGCTTCTATGCACTATGAAGTTTAAAACATAATTGCGTGGGTAGTACGCGCATTACCGATACATTGTAAGGAAAACAGAAGCGCCTTTGGTGAGCATCTCGGAGCGAATAGCGCAGCCTATTCCCGACAAGTTACGAGCTTGGTGGTGTTAATTGGAGGATTGGTCGCCGAGTGTGTTAGAGTACCACAGCGTGAGGCGCGGTGGTACGCTAGCAGGCTACAGAACCCTACCCAGTGTGCGTGCGCAAATAAACGAGCTTCTTCAGCACTTCTTTTTTAAATGAATACTGGAAAAATTTATTCTAGTACAAAGAAAAAAAATGGCGGCACACTGTTTGTCGTTTGACCTGCAATTCCTACATGTGACGGCGCCCTAAAGCCCCTTCATGTTTTAAAAGTAGAGCAAGGTGCGCCGATGCACAAGGCACGTGCAACGGGCAGCCCATGGGAAGATCATGGCAGCACAGCACTGAGCTAGATTTCAGACGCCATGTTCTTCCTAGAAGTTGCGCGCGGCCCATGTCTTGAGCATTTCCACAACAATGAATGGCGCCACTTTTCCCAAGATAGAGGGGCTTTACGTTGCCCCGCTGAAGAGCACGACGAAATTTGAATGTTGATTTTCTAACTGTTTTGTATTTACACATCATGATTAGCATGCCGGGAGAGTAAATCCCGGGTATACCCAAAAATATATAGCTATACTTCCCGTCTCACCCTATGATGGACTAAAGGCAAAAGCTACGGACCACCAAATCCAATCCCGAGCCACTTAGAAATTGCCTGGTGTTTCGCGTCGATGAACGTACTGAGTGACTCGTCAATTTTACATTGCAAAGAAGTCACGACATACTTGCTCTTTGCAGTATCCAGGCTATAGAAATGGTGCAGCGCATTTTGATATATATCATTATTCGTCCATCCTTAATCAATGTTAAGCATATCATCGTTTAGCGTGGAGCGTGATTGAACCTGGCGGCCTGTAGTCCATCGTAGGATGAGACGAAGTATAGTTAGGCTGGCTCTAAACCTAAATTCCAATATTTTTTTAGGTATTAAAATAAATTATAGAGTAAACACATTTTCAAAATACCCAGGCCTGACACTTTCCGGCGCGCTATTTAGTATCATTAAGTCAAACTAGCCGTCGAGAAAAGGGAAAGACTCATTACCAGGTTGCTTATCCTACTAGGATAAGCATGGTGACGGCATAATACCTAAACAAATGTCTACTTTCGTGACCCTATAATTTAGCTGCCATTGCACTTGTGATCGGTGAATTCCGTGGTTCAAGGGCACTGACCGCAATAAATTGTTTCAACGATTGGGAAAACAAAATGGAGCTTACAAAACTTATAATGTCGTCTACTCCCGTTGATTGCAGGTCCGCTGGAGGTGCCACTGTCGTCTTTCGCAACTACTTCCGCGGGCTTTCGAAAGAATTTCCAGCACTAGCCTTTATCGTGTTTGCTACGTAGGGTCTTCGAACAGGACTGCGCGAATAGTTAGAAAAATTTATTGATTTATCAGCTCTGGTCACTTGGTGACCAGAGCTGATAAATCAATAAATTTTTCCTTTTCAGGAAAATTTTCTTCCAGAAACTTTTTCTGGTGAGTTTGGACATTTGGATGGATGGACGGATGAATCCGGCTGAGCCCTTTGGATCGGACGGTAGCTTACGTCACCTAGCAATTTTGTTTTACCATTTAAGCTCAAAATATTTAAATGTGAAATCTATATTTACTCCGCACTGCAAAGAAAGTGAGGCTATAAAAAACCCTTTGCCATCAGTTAATAAAAGAAATACCTATTTTTCTCTCGCTTTCTGCCACCATTCACTTAATCTTTGCTTGGTAATCTCTACAGCCTTGAAATCCACTCTCTCTTCGCTGTCTCTAAAACCCAATGACTTTATTATAGAGCAAACACATTTTTATTTAGCACCAGCTATCGATATGTGTGGGCAGCAGGACGCACAGATAAGATTAATAGGTGCACCCAGTACTTCCGGAGGCGATGGTACTTGCTTTTCCGAAGAGCTCGGGAAAGGGGGGTTCCCCGAGACCTCCCACTCCCCTCCCCTCCCCTCCTCCTCCTCCCCCCCCCCCCCCCCCCCCCCCGGGTAGTCGGCGCCTATGGTCTGCACAATTATTCATTAAATCGATTTCGTTTTTTTTTTTTTTTTATTTATTTCAGCTTGATCGGTTAGAAAAGAAAAGCAAACACATAGTTGCTATTGTTGGGAACATACGTTTGCGGTAGTGTTTTCTTCGACATTAGTGCTTTAACAGTAATATAATGGTAGCAAAATAACGTTTGCGCCTGTTTTATCTATTTTATTTTTAATCTGAATACTTTAATTTACATTTTGGGCATAAAAAGTGCGTTTTAAAGCGAAGTACTGCCCGTCGCTCTACGTTCAGTGCCGACGGCGGCCTAGCAACTATGTGCGTCGCGCGACCGGCTTTTGCGTGCATGTGTCTTGGCATGGCCTCCGAGATCCCGAACAGAACATAATGTTAAAAATTTGTGTAGCACCATGCCAATGCCAAAAAATTGCTGTGGATTTCTTTTTTTTCCTTAATGAAGGCACGTGCAACGGTCAAAAAAGAACAATGTTAAAATTTTGTGTAGGACCATGTTGTCATTTGTGCGCGAAACATTAACCAGAAAAATATTTACTGTTTCTTATTTCCATTTGATGCATTGAGTTCTGGCAAAGTCGATTTTTATGTTTTCAACTTCGGCACATGTAATACCATCTTTGGCATTCAAAATAATCTATCACTGTAAGTGAAAGTTATTTGGGCTTAAAGGGGCCATGAAACGAATTTTGGGTTCGGATGAATGATTTTAAATTGGGACTTTACTAATCGCATATCGTTTAGTTGGCCAAAAGAAAGAGGCTAGAAAGTCAAAAGGCAGCTTTTCGGTACGAACATTTGAAAATATAGCGGACTATATTGTACCTTCTTGCCTTCGAAAGCTCTCCGGCGCGTTACCGGCGCCAAACTGACGTCAGCAGAGCCCACCTCACGCATTGGACACGAGAACTGCGTCACACGGACGTATGCGCTCGTCAACAATCAATCCGTCGACAAATATTTGGATTCGCGTTCGTGGCCAATGAGTGCCCTGACGGAACTTATTGTCACTGGGGAATGACAAATTCTATGGTGTGCATAAAAAGCACGGTGGAAGCAAGAAGTCATCGCACCGGTGCCGCATCACGTGGTCACGACCACGTGATTTCACAATTCGCATTTGAGTTGAGGATTAAAGCTAAGGAGGAAGAAGTAGGAAAATCGTTTCATGACCCCTTTAATTGCTGCAATACAATTAGCAAGTGTACAAACAGTACGGGATAATAAATCCGTTAACAGAGCCTTGCTTCGTTGTGTGCGTCTTAACCCCCCCCCCCCCCCCCCCCTCTGTGCCTATTTAGATAGAAATGTTTAAAGAGTCGATTTGGCGTTGGAAGCGTCATAATCTGATCAATTACGAAGCCTTGCTAAGGCATCGTAATCGGATTACGGCCGCGCTTAAGCGCACTCCGACTGAGCAAGATGGAGGCGCCAGCTGAGACCGGACTTTCAGGGCACTTTCACTGGTGTCACTGTGAAATACGCCCACACTGCATGTTCGCAAGCCGGCATGCACTTTATAAGTCGCAAAAAACTGGGATTTTTATGACGTGCGGGGTTATAATCATGTACAGCTTCATGCAGTCTGGCCATCTCGCGACCAGGTGAGACCGTCGGAAGGAGCCGAACACATATAGATGCGTACAAAGGAGCAGTATCACATCGAACACACCCATATCTTGTCGAAAAAAGTCACGAAAAGCAATTTTAAAACATATTGAACGGTTAGCGAAGAGCACCCGGTGGATGTCGCTAACGCCTCGTTTGAAATGCCCGTCTAGGAACCTTGAAAAATAGTAAAGATAAAGGCCCGTTCACACTCTTGCAACCGAGTG